TGGAGCCAGACATTTAAGAAAATAGTTCTCAGGTCACTAGCTGATCACAGAGATAACAGAACAGAAGTTTCAGACACTTCATTGACCGTACAACAAGGAATATACACTTCACAAAAATAGTTTGGAAAGGTCACAAACTAAAAGCTCCAGCTCTCAACAGGGAAAAATCAGAACAGTTGGGGTGGGAAGGCAGGTTCTGGAGCACTGGCTGACTTAAAGAACTGGTCATGACTCAGGAACATTGGACAGATTGACCTATTAAAAACTAAAATGATACATTAAGGTATTAAATTACACATAAGTAGTATAATTTAAAATTATACTACTTAGAATCCATGACTTCTTATAACCACTTTCAGCACTTTAATTACTATCTTTCCTGTAAACAGCACCTCTCTGTATTTAGCCTCACAAGTTATTACAGCAAGGTGCATATTTATATGTTAAACTAACAAAAGGAAAAATCAGTGTGTGAGATTATCACAATGTTTCACTCATGCATTGCTGTCATATTCTAGCAATTGATTTTTGGTAAGGTTGCCAAGACCAGGCCATGGGGAAAGAACAAATGATGCTGAGAAAACAGAATATCCACATGCAAAGAAATGAAATTGGACTCTTTATACCATATATAAAGATTATTTCAAATAATGGATCAAAGACTAACCGTAAAAGATAAAACTATTAAACTCTTAGAAGAAAACATAGAGGAAAGTCTTTATGACCATGGATTTAGCAATTATTTCTTTTTTAAAAGTTTTATTTATTAAGTTGATTGTGGTGACATTGGTCAACATGAACATATAGGTTTCATGTGTGGATTTCTATGTTATAAGATCTGTATATTGCACCATGTGCTCACCACCCAAAGCCAAATCTTCTGTCTCCGCATATTAGGACTCCTGTCTTCCCCCACCCCCTTCTTTCTGGCAGCCACCACTCTGCTGTTTGTGTTCAAAGTTTCAGTTTTATATCCCGCATGAGTGAAATCATATGGTTCTTAGCTTTTTTCTGTCTGACTTATTTCATTTCACATAATGTTGTCAAGGTCCATCCATGTTGTTGCAAATAGCACTATTTCACCCTTTCTTATGGCTGAATAGTACATCTTCTTTATCCAGTCCTCTATCATGGGACACTTTGGTTGTTTCCATGTCTTGGCTACCGTGAATAATGCTGCAATGAACATAGGGGTTCATATATCTTTGCGAATACATGATTTTGAGTTTTTTTGGGTATACACCCAGGAGTGGGGTTGCTGGGTCATATGGTAGCTCTATTCTTTATAGCTCTATTCTTAATATTTTGAGGAATTAGAGAACATTTTATGGACTTGACCCCAAAGGCAAGGGAGGTAAAGGCAAAAATAAATGAATGGGACTATATTGAATTAAAAAGCTTCTGCAGAGCAAAAGAAACTGACAACAAAAAAAGAGACAGCCAACCATGGGAGATATTTGCAAATAGTAGCTCCAACAAAGGTTTAATATCCAAAATATATAAAGAACTCGTAAAACTCAACACCAAACAAACAATCCAATAAAAAAAGTGGGCAGAGATCCTGAAGATACATCTCCCCCACAAAGACATACAAATAGCCAATAGATATATGAAAAGATGTTCAACCTCACTGGCAGTTAGGGAAATGCAAATCAAAACTACAATGAGATACCACCTTACACCTATTAGAGTGGCCATTATCAACAAAATAAGCAGAAATAAGTGTTAGAGAGTTTTTGGAAAAATGTAACCCTCATTCACTAGTGGTGGGAATGTAGACTATCAGTGATTTCTTAAACGACATCAAAAGCATAGCTTACAAAAGAAAAAATAAGTTGGACTTCATCAAAATTAAAAACTTGTGCATCAAAGAATACTATTAAGATATTTTCATCTATTAATGATGGCTAATTTTTCTTTAATTTTCTTAACTATTAGAAATTTTCAAAATAGAAAATTTATTCTAGATTTAATCATAAATAAGAATAAATGGAGCTGGAATTATTTTGACATAATATGCAAGAAAATTCATAGTCATTGACATCTCAAATCTGCAGTTAGATTTCTAAAAACCATTGCAGCATATAATATGGAAGGTGTATGTTTGGTTTTTAATTTCACCTAAGATTGAGGACTCAAACAATAGATTCACTTCTCTGATTTTTATTGATGATAGTGATGACTGGATCACTGAATGAGAAGGCAGTAACATGTTTATGAGGTACGTGAATGATGTGATTCCCATTAATAAAGGTGAAAACAAAAAAAGGAAACAAGTGAATGAAAATAAAACTCACAAAATGGCAGAAAATATTTGCAAAACCATGTATTTCATAAATAGTTAATGTTCAGGATATATAAAGAACTCCAAAAACCCTCAAACAATCCAATTAATAAATGCACGAAGGACTTGAATAATATACAAATGGTCTATAAAACATATGAAAAATGCTCAACATCGTTAGTGTTTGGGGAAATACAAATCAAAACCACAATGAGATATCACTTTATACCCACTAGGAAAATATCGAAAATAACAACTGGTGGTGAGGATGTGGAAAAATTGGAACTCTTGTATACTGGTTGTGGGGATGTAAAATAGTGCAGCTACTGTGGAAAACAGTTTGGCAGTTCCTCAAAAACTAAACATAGAATTACCATATAATCAGCAATTCTAAGTAAACACCCAAAGGAATTGAAAACAGATCCTTGTAAAGCACGTTTATGGTGGTATTACTAACAGGAGCAAGAGGTTGGAAGCAATCAGAGTGTTTAGAAAAAGTGGTGATGGCTATATAGCTTTGTGAAATGTACTTAATGCCATTGAGTTGTGCACTGAAAGAAATTTTAAAGGATGAATTTCATGTTATGTATAGTTTACCACAATTACAAAAAAAGGCAAGTTCTTAATAAAAATGATAGTGCACAGGACTCATGAAAGTAAGCAAGCCTAGAAGGAGTTTGTAGGAAGAAAAGGGAATGTTTGAGAGATTAAAGATTGCAGGGTATTTGAAGGGAAGATATTTAGGGAGTAAGATTGAGAGAACTGAAACATAATGATGTGCCACATAATGATGTTCAGACAGCAACAGACTGGTATACAATGGTGGTTCCCTAAAATTATAATGGAGATGAAAATTTTTCATTGTTTAATGATGTGGCAGCTTTCATAACATCTTAACAGAATACTTCCCTCATTTGTTTGTGGTGATACTGGCGGAAACAAACCTTTTGCATCACAGTTTGGTAAAAATATAACACATACAATTATGTACGGTACATAATATTGATGATGATAATAAATGACTATTTTTCTGTGTTGTGTACTTACTTTTATCATTTTTAGAGTGCACTTTTTCTACTTGTAAAAAATGTTGGTTGTAACATAGTGTGCTGTGTTAGCCTGCAGCAACCCATACATCTCCTATTTACCACATCTCTTAGTTGCGTCATTTTCTCTTGTGCTTGATTTAATCTTGTGTTGTTTTGTACAATGTAAGCATATTATGCTTATAGTATACTAGAGGCTCAGTGCACGAAATTCGTGC